TATATATATATATATATATATATCAGGGTTTAGGGTTTAGGGTTTAGGGTTTACGTTTTCATGAGTAATAGAAGGAGCTACTTCTTTTAAGTTGACAATCCTCGCACTAACGCTTTTAATGCCTTTGCTTTCAAGCTTTTGTTTGTTTGGCGTCAAAACTTTGCTCAAAACGCTGCAGTCGACATCCCGCATCAATGTGCCTGCACGTACACCCCAAACCCTAAACCCTAAACCCTAAACCCTAAACCCTAAACCCTAAACCCTAAACCCTAAACTGTAAATGGTAAGCAGTAAATCCTAGGCCTGAAAGTCAAACCCTAGCCCTTTGCATGCCAGCCCCAACAGAAGCAGCAGCAGCACCGCAGCAGCAGCAGCAGCAGCAGCAGTAGAAGTAGCAGCAGCAGCAGCAGCAGCACACCGTGGTGCACCCATATGTCGCCAGCCCTCGCATAGGCAGCGCCTGAGAACTGCAGACACAGAAATACATCAAAGCCAAGGGTTTAGGGTTTAGGGTTTAGATGCTAGTCTAGGACGGGATCTGTTGTTAAGCTTGATAGCGCAGAGTTTAGGGTTTAGGGTTTAGGGTTTAGGGCATAGATGCTGGTCTAGGACATGAGGTGTTGTTCATCCGAAGGGCGCCCATCAGTGTTTATTGTTTAGGGTTTAGCGTTTAGGGTTTATAGCTTAGGACTTAGGGTTTAGGGTTTAGGGTTTAGGGTTTAGGGTTTAGGGTTTAGGGTTTAGGGTTTGCCTTTCTTCCGTCTGGTAAGACAAGGTCGTTGCGCCCGCTGCTTTTTGCTTCGATGCCGAAACCTGTTTTCAGTGCACTTAAAATAAATTCTTCAACCTTTTGTTTTTGCTGTCTCAAGCAAATAACAGTAAAACAGGTGTTACCCAGGTCCTAAGCGCATGCGCAAGGGTTTAGGGTTTAGGGTTTAGGGTTTTGGGTTTTGGGGGTGGGTGGGAAAGGGTTTAATACGCAGCTGCAACACGCTCCACAGGCACCCGCCTTGGCTCAAACCCTAAACCCTAAACCCTAAACCCTAAACCCTAAACCCTAAAACCTAAACCCTAAACCCTAAACCCTAAACCCTAAACCCTAAACCCTAAACCCTAAACCCTAAATAAACCCTAAACCCTAAACCCTAAACCCTAAACCCTAAACCCTAAACCCTAAACCCTAAACCCTAGCGCACCTGGTATACGGCTCCTCCTCCTGAGTATCTCCTTGCGAGCAAAATTTGTTGATCTTTTAGGGTTTGAGGGTTTACTTCAACCCAAGCATTTTGATGCCGCCCAATGACAACTGTTTTATTATTTCTCCAGAGGTAAAGAAGAGGGCCTGAGGGTTTAGGGTTTAGGGGTGTATGATTAGGGTTTGAGGGTTTAGGGTTTAGCAAAGGGGTTTGCCCTGCCCATACTTCTTTTAGAGTAGCTTCAAGAGATAAATTAAAATAAATATTATCCGAAGTACTCTCAAGCACAGTAACACCTCCTGCTGCTGCTGTTGCTCCTGCTGCTGCTCCTGCTGCTGCTGCTGCTTCTTTTGCTGCTGCTGCTGCTGCTGCTGCTGCTGCTGCTGCAGTAGCAGCAGCAGCAGAAGAAGAGAAGCAACGCCGATACACCTGCTGCGGGGCTGACAGCCCCAGGGAACGAACCAGATTATTCAAGTGCATCCTACACACACCAACGAGGGTTTAGGGTTAAGGGTTTAGGGTTTAGGGTTTAGGGTTTAGGGCTTATGGTTTAGGGTTTAGGCGTTGCGTCGCTCGCAGAAAATCCAAGGGGGGCGGACCCTAAATAAAGGTGTGGTGACTCAACAGCTAACTATGATAGAGGTTTGAGGGTTTGGGCTTTAGGGTTTAGGGTTTAGGGTTTAGGGTTTAGGGTTTAGAAAAGACCTCAGCGCCAAGGGGCGAGGGGCCCCTCGGGGGCCCCAGGGGCCCCCCTTCCTCATCGATACGGGATAGCCCTGGCGCTGCTAAACCCTAAACCCTAAACCCTAAACCCTAAACCCTAAGATTTGATTTC